GGGGACTGGACTCAGGGGCTCACAGAGCAGGAGGGCTCCACAGCACTAAACCTCACATCACAGGGCCCCACGGCTCAGGGGCCAGTGGAGACAGAGGAGTTCTTTTTACCTTCCGAGCTGCTGGAGCAGAGTCTGTCCACACTGCACACTGCAGGTCTGTACCAGCTCTGTTACATCCTGCACATCACTGCACAAGGTTTAGTCAGTCACATCTACACACTAGGGCTTTACAAGTATTGTACCTTTACACTTCTAACCATAATTGTTACATTTTATAAAATGAAACACAAGATTCTACAGCAGGGGCCATCAAACTAAGGTCCGAGGGCCAACTCCGGCCCTCCACGCCCCTTTGAGCGGCCCCCCAGCCCCTCTGTCCCTGAATACTTGAACTGCCCTATGAGGCAAAACTCAAAAGTTGTCATGGCCTATTTTTTAAAATTACTTTTTGACAAATAATAACACATCTGCATCTTGTATTTTGTAGATTTTTTCAATAAAAAATTGTATTTATATGAAGTATTTCTATTTATATTTAAATAATCATGACATATTTACATTTGCCGCCGAATTTTCATCACCTGACAAACTCGAGATCAAACAGTGACAGTGAATACACACACAGAGTACTGTAGTGCAGTTAAGGAAAACAAAATGACTTGTGTTAAAGTACAAAAAGTTAACAGAGAGTGCCAAGTTTTCAAAGAACAGTGGACAACTGATTATTTTTTTGTTCAGTGTAATGAACGTGCAGTTTGTCTGATATGTTAAAGAAAGTGTGGTGGTTTTCAAAGAATATAATCTGCGTCGTCAGTGTCAGTTATACAGCCTACCCGACCCCGGCCCCCCTTCAGAGTCAGGATCGATCATGTGGCCCCAGAGAAAAAAGTTCGGTGACCCCTGTTCTTGAGGGTTGTTCCGTTTGTTTCACTAAATCACAGCTGCTTAAAAGAAAAATGATAAAATGGTGATTCTTTCCAGACTGGACCAGCGACCCACACCAGAGCAATGACACTGGACCTTCACCTGGAGCCAATAAGAACCCTGCACCAGCATCAAGAGGTCGGTCCACCGCCTGCACCCTCACTACACATTCAGCTGCATGCTCTCTTCATATTCAGTGTTTGTGAGATCTTTTGTTGTTTTTCTGTACTTCGTTTCAGAGCCCAGTGGACGCCCCAAACACCTGTCGGCCTGGTTGAACCTGTTTGCCGACCTGGACCCTCTGTCCAACCCGGACGCCATCGGAAATACCGGCTCTGAACACGAAGCTCACAACGCATAATCCCAGCACAGTACTGCAAAAACGAGTACTCCAAAGACAGTACTGCGAGCTCATAGTAACATTACATAATCAAATCTGTAACCTTTAAAAAAATCAAGAGGGACTACAGTGTAAAAAGCCATGTGGAGATGTTTGTGAGTTTGGATGTTGCATGGATAACCTCGTGTGACTGGAAATATAAACTCTTTAAAAACTTTGGTAACATCAAACTTCACAAAGTAGCAGTCACTTTACTTTAACTACTCCTCTAAAGATACACGTGTAACTTTTCAGATCTGGGGCTTTGTCTAGAATGCTCCACAGTAAGGCATTAAACGTATCTATCTCCATGGAGACAATCAGATATTTTCACCAGGCCAAGTAACAGGTCAGATCTGTGGAGAGGCGATCCTGCTCACAGTAAGCCCTTCTGTGAAACATTCCAGGGAACAGTGTTATCTCCGTGGAGACAAGCAGGCCACGGACGCTGTTGAAAAGTTACACATTGGGTCTTTAAAACTGGGGTACGCAACTTTTTTTTTGTAAATGAGTAAATTTTCCCCGAAGAGTACCCTATTTTCCGTACTAGGACGCTCTGGATTATAAGGCGCATTAAACGAAACACAACAGATTAGATAAGTCAGTCAAACTTTATTTAATATCCAACTTTGTTCACTTGTAACATGTAAAAAAATACAGTCTGAGATGCTAAATTGTTACTGTATTCACAATAACTCATAGATGTTCAGTTATAACTAAAAATAACACATTACACTCACTTTTTCAGTTCATTCCTCGTCCACAAATCCAGCAAATTCTTCATCTTCAGTGTCCGAGTTAAACAGTTGGCCAATTATGGCATCCAGCACACCCGCATCCCTCTGTCACTATCCGAGTCAGTGTGGTTACTGTTCCCTGGCAGTTCAGTGATGACTCTGGTCTTGGTGAAAGTTCGGACCACAGTTGATACTGATGCTTAGTCCAGGCGTCCACGATCCGTTGGCAGATCGTGGCGTAAGTCGCTCGGCTCTGTCTCTCTGTCTTGGTGAATGTGTGTTCTCCTTCTCTCATCCACTGCTCCCACGCAGCTCACACTTTCACTTTATAACAGCCTTGAGTTTAAATTTTTTTTAATTTTATTTTATTTACAGTATGTATTACTCCTGATGCTCCTGACTACGGGAGCCATAATGCTGCAAGTGGTGCGGCTTTGTAGTTTACTAAAGTCGTACTAAGACACCCCAATAAATTCATATATAAAGCGCTCTGGATTATAAGGCGCACAGTCGTTTTTTGATGAAATTAAAGGCTTTTAAGTGCGCCCTATAGTGCGGAAAATATGGTATACTGGAAAAGCAGCACTTTGTGACAGAATGAGACTACTGGGTGTTATCTGCAGCTATTAATAAAGTATTTTTACCTAGAGGAAAGAGTCAAAGGCAGTGCTCTGACTGGCTGCTCCTTCAACTGCAGATACACGATACAGAGTTTTCTCATTCTCACTATGAGCCTCACATGAGTCTCTCACCTCCACTGCTCAGATCCAGTTGGTTTAAGGTTAAGCTTTTATTGTCCCTGTTGGAAAATTCATACTTTAATGCCACTGTCTGGAGCAGTTAGGGATGTAACAGTAACTGAAATATCCTGATATCGTATCGTCAAAAGTCTCACAATAATATCATGGGCTGTCACAATATATCGAATTACTTAATTAAGTTCCTTTGCTTAAATCCTTTGTTTTATAGTAGCAACAGCTTATAAACATAGGGAACTGCATATCCCATGATTCATTTCTGTGCAAACAACATGAAGAAATATGTTTTTGACTTGAATTCTTGGGATTATGAAGGGAATAATTCACACCAACATCTTGTCACGGTATTTTAAAAGCAGAAACGTGTCTTATCTACAATTACATTAGCAATAAATATCGTACTGTGGGATGCATATCGTGATAATATTGTATCGAGAGATTTGGATATTGTTACATCCCTATGAGCAGTGCTGTTGCTAGGCTTGGTCAGGAGGAAAACCTGGGAGTGCCCAAAGAAAACCTGCCCAGAGAAACATACAACACACTAAACTACGCACAGAGCTCAGCGTCTGTGGCCTCTAAAACGTCTCTCTCTGATCTGAATGGTCACTACCTAAACCCCAGCATCTGCATCAATCATGAGTCAGAGCTAGTGCAGCCTACGCAGCTCAGGGAGGGGATTCTGAAGGTTCTGAGCTTCACATGAGGCCTGTCCATACACTGAGAATGAGACAAACTTGTATGTGTCCTTGATCTGCAGGTTAAAGGGATAGTTCAGAATTTTGGACGTAGGACCTCATTTCCTAGTGAGCCAGAGTGTTGGAGACGTGTGGATACACTTTTTTAAATATTCCATCCAGTCCTTGTATTTGCAGAGGTCACTGGTACTAGGCTAGTGCATGTCAATGGCCATCGTTATCCTGCCACTAAAAACAGTTTTACCCACTCCACAAAACACCCGAAACAAATCGATTATTACACCAGACTGTCCATGTGAATGTCTGTGTTGCTAGAATCTAATGTTTGAAATAAAACTAACGTCGCATCACATGAATCGTCGCATGTTGAGGGACTATTTTCTCATATATCAATCCGCCGCTGTCGAGCTTTCTATCAGGAACTCACTGCTGTTGCTCAGACATAAATCCTTCGAATGCAAGGTTAGTTTTACTTCTAAAATTAAAATTATTCTATCAACACAGACATTCACATGGACAGTCTGGTGTAATAATCGATTTGTTTCGGGTGTTTTGTGGAGTGGATAAAACTGTTTTTAGTGGCAGGATAACTATGGCCATTGACATGCACTAGTCTAGTGCCAGAGACCTCTGCAAATACAAGGACTGGATGGAATATTTTTAAAAGTGTCTCCACACTATGGATGTGCCTGATTAGTCAATTAATCGATAATTGATCATTAAGAATTTCATCAATTATGTCCATTTTAATAGACAAAGCGAATGTAGATTGCTGTGCATAGCGAAGGGTGACCAAACGTCCGTGTCCAGGAACAAACGGGGGTCCGGACATGTGTCTCTCTGCACTCAGAAGGAGCGAGACACAAACAGTCGGTCAGCCTGCAACGTGCCGAAGTGCAAATGTGTATTTGACGATGACTTGTACAAAAAAATTCCACGCTTTCCGCTCCGGTCGGGACAAGTGTGAGTCCATGTGCACAGTGTACAAAGCAGCACATATGTTTCAGTGTCCAGTGGGTAAAAGCTCACCAGGACACCGAAAACATGAAAAAGCTTTGCCAGGTGAGAGTAGCTCAATGTCGATGACCTGTACGGTGTCCTGGTTTTGACAAACGCAAATATGGTCACACTAACCTGTATTCCACTGAGTCGGCCGCATCAGCGCACAAGAGATGTTTTTTTTTCTTTGCTTAGTTTATGCAAATTAGTCATGCGGTTTTAAGTTTTATTTCTGTAAGACTTGCGCAAAGCTGCATTAAACACATTCTAATGTCAAACGGGCTGATGTGGCTCTAGAGTCGTTATGGTTTATATGTGGTAAAGTTGAATTTATTTTTGCAGATTAGTAGTGCAGATAGTAATAATAATGATGATACATTTTTATATAAAAAAACGTTAATGATTAATCGATAATCGATTCACATCCCTACTCCACACGTCTCCAACACTCTGGCTCACTAGGAAATTAGGCTCTATGTTCAAAATTCCGAGCTGTCCCTTTAAGTCTCTGGGGACACAGGTTAAGGTGTGATTGTAATACCTTTTTAAAAACTTTAAATGTGCAGGCTGCAGTTTAGGATCTAATGTTATATTAGAAGTGGCTGCTCGTTGTTCTTCCATCGACGCGTTCTGATCAGGTGAAACGCATGCTGCATGTGTAAACGTACTATCTCTCATGTTTTAAAAGTGTGGTGAGTAACGTTTAGAAATATACGATTCATTCTATAATGCTGCAGAACTTGTACCAAAATAATGCCTTACTTCAACCTCAACTTAACCTCATAGCACTGGCTTTTTATAAGTGTGCTTATTTGATTGTTTTATTTTTCATCTTATCTAATCTACTTTATATTTCAAAGCCATGTGACACCATCCCTGTACTCCAAAGCTGTACTGGTGTTAGCAGGGTGTTCAGTAGCCTCCTCTAGTGGTCATTTACGATAATAGCAACAAACAAAATAATATTTAATCTGTACTCTAGCAATAACCTCTCAGTACTACAATTTGCACATTTTTATTAGCAGTATCATTAAGTTCTGTTGTTTAATTTTACAAGGAAAAAAAAGATCTGAAATTATTTGAAATTATTTTGACTTATTTACTGAACAAAGCGACTAAAGGAGGCTAAAATAATAACTATCTTAACTGTATTCGCCTACAATAACATTAAGCTCACGTAACAAATGCTCCGAGTACAATCACAGATCAAATTCTAATGTATTGTCCAAAATAAAATCCACAAATCTGAAAACATTTTGCGATTCTTTATTTAAAAACACGCTACATACAAAATCAGAAGACACACAACTTAATGAACATGGTAACAACCGAATGTAACTTGTAATACAACACTGAAATTACAACTATGTGAGCGCGTGTGGAGTCGAGGCGCGTCTAGTGAACTTTCCGTCACTAGACCGGCCAGAGAGGGATGTTTGTTTGGAATGGGAAAAGTTAGTGTCAAAATAAATACAGATCATTGCACAGTTTTGATTGTAAATTGTAAAAGATCATCATTAAGTGCTAAAACTTGGTATTACCTTTCAATATTAACAAAAAACTAAACTAAACGCAGCTAACCATTGTTATTTTTTTGCTTTGGTACATATTTTTGGGCTCTAACAAATCACTTAAAGTTGGATTATGTAACGTTTACGGTGCTCATTTCCATAGAGATGCTATTGCTTTGCCTGTAGAGTACTCTGAGACATGTGACAAGTGACAGGTTAGATCTGTGGAGTGGTTAGAATGCAACGTATTCTTGTACATAAAACAAAAACAAAACTGTAGTTAGGATTGTCAAAAATATAAAAAAATCTAATTCTAATCGATACTAAACCCTGTATCGAAACTAGATTAAAGGATTAAAGAGGCAATCGAAATACAGAAACGTGCCCACGGGATGATAAACCGGGATGAGGGGCTTTTTTACTCTCACACACCCGGGATACTGTCCTGAGGAAGTCGGACTGCAGGTGGCGCTGTCGTCCTGCCTCCACCGGTAGGAAGACAGCACCAAAACCTGTTTAAATCAGCTGAGGAACACGTCACAGCAACATCACGTGACCACTCTGAGGAAGATGACAGTGAGCAGTCCAAACTGTCAGCTATAAAAACAAACTCTGGTCTGAAAAAAGAACCTAATAACATAAATTATCGGAAGACCAAATGAACCTCATTGGACTGTATCGAAACTCATTTGAGCAGGTATTGATACTGAAAAAGTCACATTCACGGGAGTTTTAGAATGATCTTGAGCTGTATCAGAACAAGTATAGACTAGTATACACACATGGACCACTATGGAACCTACCTGGACCACTGAGGGATGACACACATATAAGGCCACATTGGAATAGAAAAGAAACTACCATGATTTAATGTTGAAAATCACATTCTATTGTCTAAAGAAAGTGTGTTTTTAATTTTCATCGTGGTATCAGAATCAGTATTTAGAAGAGTCTATCGAAATCAAGCTTGAAATTTTTGTATTGTGACCACTGCTACACGAGCCTGATTCATCAGCCAGTTTCACTTCGTGGAAACTGTCTGACCTCGCAGCATTAGGATTTGTTCGCTCGGCGGTCGGTGAGTACTTTTTTTATTTAACCAATCGCTGCTATTTGGTCGTGATGTACTGTATGTACTGCACGCTAATGAGCCTAACTGGCATATTAAGCTTTTCCCAAATCCCGTAGGAAGAAGGGCCATAACGTTCTTCCCCTTGATAAATTTCACCAAACATTCTCTTTGTTCCGGCTTTAAATCCTCGATCTCGGGAATTGTTGCCAACACAGAATGTCTGTCTTTGTCTACATCCATCTCTACCTCTTTGTTTACTGTTGTGCTGTACCACAAAAGGGACCCAGTTATGGCTTCACAGCTCTTCACTGATTGGCCGGTGCGCGATCTACAACTTCCGGGGTTCTTGCAAACCGAGCATTCTGATTCCTGACCTAGTCGCTAGAGAGACATTAAATTGTGTGGAGGCACTAGGTGGTGCTAGTCTGGCTACTACTACACTGCCTGTAGGAAAGAAAATTATGGATGGACAAGTTCCAGGCAAAGCAATGGCATCACCCCCCCCAAAAAAGTTACATAATCCACCTTTTAAAAAAATAACAACAACGTCTCCACTCTTATTCCATCTTTTTTTCTGTCATGAACCAAAAAAAATTCAAGTCTTTTTTTGTTTACCTGAAAGCATCTAGTAAGACATAAGCTTCAAATAATACAATGTGTTAAAGGTGCATTGTGTAACTTTTCTGGTGTAGAGTCCGTCAAATGCTTTTCCTCAAGGAGATGTTTGTCTGAACATGGAGACCAAACCAGACCAAATTACAGGTCAGATCTGTGGAGTCAGAATGCCTTTTTAACTAAGTATTTTTGAGCAATAAAACCACCTGTAACTGAATAAATGTAAGGTAGAGCTGTTTAATGTCTCACTGTGGAACATTCTGGATAGAGCAGTGACATCTCCATAGGAAGAAGCAGAAAAGAAAAGCTACACAATGCACCTTTAATGTCTGCTATTGTGAGAGTTGGGAAGTAACTGAATACATGCACCAAAAATACGTACTCTGAATACTAATTTTGATTGTATTCTGGAAAGTACTTTTTCATTTAGTACTATTCAGAATACAGTTATGGAATACATTACTGTGTTTTATCATGTAATTTAGGCTTCAAACTGCACAAAATCAGCGAGAAAAATGAAAAGAAAAACAGCTCTTGTGGTAAGTAGGGATGTAACAGTATCCAAATCTCTCGATACTTTCCCGATATGCATCTCACGGTTCGATATTTATTGCGATGTTTTGTGGAGGCAAACAAACAAAACTGTGTATACGCTACTTATTCTTCTTAAAATGCCTTGATAAGACTTAACTCAAAGAATTTAAAAGTGCTTAAAACAGTTATTACTTCATGTAGTCAAAGGATTACGGCCTATGTAGTTCCCTCTGTTGTTGTAACTCGATATATTGTGATGGTCCTCGATATTATTGTGAGACATTAGACGATACGATTTCATGATATTTCGGTTATTGTTACATCCCTTGATCACGATAAGATAACGGAAAACGGTAAAACAAACGTAGAGCTGTTTTCAAGCCAATATTGCGTATAATTTAAAGGTGCACTATGTAACTTTTTCGTTGTGGGTCCACTACCTGCTTGTTTCTATGGATATGTCATTGCTCTGGTTGGAATGTTCCACGGTATGACATTAAACACCTCTACCTTACCTTCAATTCCATTACCGTATTTTTCGGACAATAAGGCGCACTTCCTTTAATCCTTTCATTTTCTCAAAAACAGACAGTGCATGTTATAATCTGATACACCTTATGTATTAATTCTGGTTGTGCTTACTGACCTCGAACCGATTTTATGCAGTACAAGGCATTCAAAAATTTGTGAAAATGTTTTAGTACGACTTTGGTAAGCTACGAAGCCGCACCGCATGATTGATTGTCAGGAGCCTCGAGGAGTAATACACATTCACCAAGACAGAGAGGCAACGTCAGCTGAGTCACGATCTGCCAATGGATCGTGGCAGCCTGGACTAAGGGATCAGTCTCAAGTGTCGCCTGAGCTTTCACAAAGGCAGAATCATCACTGAACAGAGAAGTAACAGCAACGAGACTGACTCGGATAATGACGAGAGTGATCCGGGCTTGATGCCGAAATCGCCCAATTAAATAAAATTTGACTTATCTGACCGTTTTGTTTCACTTTATGTGCCTTATGTATGAAAATAGACTAGATAATTCAACATTACTGATTTTGTGCCTTGTAGTCTGAAAAATATGGTAGATGTGGTTTTATAGCTCAGAAATACTTAGAAAAACAGAGATTCAGACTGTGAACGGGGTCGCCTCTCCACAGATCTGACCTGTAACTTGATCTGGTTTGGTCTCCATGAAGATAGAAAGGTTTCATGCCATACTGTGAAACATTCCAAGCGAAGCAATAACATTTTCATGGAGAAATGTAAATGACGGACCCTCCAGCAGAAAAGTTACACTATGCACCTTTAAAGTGCCTATGACAGCTTGAACTACTCATTTGATCAAAAACACAGATAAACGCATTATATTAAAGATTTTACTGAAATAAATTGTAAAAAAAAAGTCCTGTTTGTCAATTTTTTTTTCATGACATCACACTAGACTAGGGAATTCATTTACTGTTACCTAGCAACCATATCACACAGAGCCAAAACTTCTCTAATGTGCACAAAGATTATCATCTGACAAATAAAAATACAAGAAAACACCTTTATTTTGCTGTTGTATCTGAAAAAATGTGTTTCTTGTGTGAAAATTGTGCATAACTTTTGGACAGAATTCTCCCCAGTGTGATGTCAACGTGTGATGGGACTACTTCCTGTATATTTTTCAAATTTTGTCGACAAATTGCTTCTTGATTGGTGTAAAACTACAATTTATATTTTATTTTTATGTATTATCCCATCAGATTCCCACAAAATTTGAGATTCATAAAAGCGTATCATAGGCACTTTAAATACAACTTGATGTAAAAGTATTCCAAGTATTCAGAATCCAGTACTTTGATTGGCCCAAATACATTTTAATGCAGGTATTCAGTATTCTGTAACTAAAGTATTTGTGTTTGTACTTGTTATTGTAAGATAAGGCATCCATCTTGTATAAAAACCCAGAGAGGAACGTGTCGGTGCTAAGAAAGGCCACTAGAAGGCACTATTGTCCTGGGACATGCCCTGAGCTACTTCTGCGGGTCATGAGAGAAATTTAAAGGTGCACTGTGTAACTTTTCTAGTGGAGGGCCCCTTGCTTTGTCTGAAATGTTTCACAGTATGGCATTACACCTTTCTGTGTTCATGGAGAGTATTTCTGAGCTACAGAATCACTTGTAATTGAATAAATGTATCCATAGAAACAAGCAGGTGACGGATCCCCCAACAAAAAAGTGACACAGTGCACCTTTAACACAGATAAAGGAGGCGGTTTCACACACTGGCGCGGTACGGTATGGTTTGATATGCTATGTTAGAAGCTTAATATACTGTTGAATTAACACAAAATGCTTTCTAGAGTCATTCTAGACCTTTGTGTGTTATTGTTAGATGTTTGTATTGTCTGATATTCAGGAAGTACACGTTAGTATGCTAGTTGTCAGCTTTACCGGGATTGGCCAAACTCCGCTCTGGTCTCTGAAAGTTGTAAAAAGCTCTTACAAACTCATCGTGGTGAGTAATGAAGATGCACTGATTGCATAAAGTAAGTGAGGAAGAACTTTGGACCACTGCAAACTGTTTTTCAAGTTTTTTAAGACAGTACAACACCTTTAAATTATAATTTAGCCTGGATTTTGATATATTTTAGTCCTTTATATTATATTTGATAGTTTTTATTCACTAAATGCTATTTTATGGGTTCGCTTTTATTTGATTTGACTGGTTTTTGTGTTTTAAATTGAACATTTATACCCTCTGTTGTATTCCCTTTGATGGTTTAATGTTATTTTTATAAATGCAGCACTTTGGAAACGGTTTTGTTTTTAAAATGTGCGACAGAAATCAAACGTTTGATTTGGATTTGGAGTGGTGGCACTTGGAAAGCAAAATATTTCTATATGATTAAACTTTTTGTGTGAATTATTTTGAAAGCAACAAAAATTTCACTTGAAAACTTTAGCAATAAACACAACTATTTTTTTTTTGCCATAACCACACATTTTTATAAGACCACTTAATAAGTTAAAACAGATCACTTTAAAAGTTTAAACTTTTATGTATTTGAGCTCGTGAGGTCAAAATAAGTCTGGTGTGTACTGTCTGCATCCAATTACAGCGCATTTTATGGTTTGACAATCAGGAAGTGCGCGTTACCATGTGAGTTTTTGTTAGCTTTTACCTTCCACTGTTTTCTGAAAGTTGTGAAAAAAGCTTACAAACTGATCGTGGTGAATAATTATGATGCTTGGAATGCATAAAGTAAGTGAGGAATAAACATAAAATACAGAACTAGTTCATTTTAAACAGTAAAAATCAGGTACCGAACCAATGAACAAACTAGCCTTGTTGATTACCGTATTTTCCGCACTATATGGCGTGCTCTTAAGCCTCCAACCCCATCAAAAAACGACAGCGCGCCCCACAGTCCAGAGCGCGCTATACATGAATCCGCACAGGTGTAGCACGACTTCAGTAAACTACAAAGCCGCACCACCCACAGCGCACGGAAACACGCACGGAGCAGACAGCGACCGTACAGCGAAACACACCCGCAGCCACACTCATCACTCCACGCCGACGAGGAACGGAACGAACCGAAAAAGCGAGTGCAATGTGCCACTTCTAGACACAACTGAACTGAGTCACTGCGAACACGCCGACAATCCAGCGGTCCCAGACAGCACCCTCCCTACACGCCACAACTGAACAAAACCCAGAGTCACCGTGAACGCACCAAACAAACAAAACCACTCACCCATCCAACTGTTGTGTTTCGTTTAAAGTCTGGTGCAGGTGTTTATTTGTGAAAAAAGTTTGAAAATAGACCATTCTATGACAGTGCGCCTTATAATCCAAAGCGACTAATAGTGCGGAAAATACGGTACTTTACAACGCCGTAGCTGGATGTATATAATCAGGAAGTGTGTGCTTAGCATGCTATTTGCTGTTAGAGTTACCCTGGACGTCAGCGAAACTCAACTCTGGTCTCTGAAAGTTGTGGAATGCACGTAAAAATGCTCGGAACGCATAAGGTAATGAGGAATAACTTCGGATCATTGCAAACTGTTTACAATGAACTAGTTCTGTTTTTCACATTTTTAATACCGTAAAAATCTGATATTTTGTAGCCTTCTCCACAGCGCCTGCTGCTGGTGCTAAAGAGTACAACCAGACTAACCTGAATCACACAGGTAAGACATGAATGTGATATGTCACTGACTATAGCAGAGTACAAAGCTTATACTTAGTTTCCAGGTTAGCGACGATTAAAAGTCTCTAAAAAAAACAAAAAACATAATATGCTCAATATCGTGACTACAATGAAGACATGGTTAGTCAAAAGCAAAGGTTTCAAGTGATAAGAGCTTGTTTATAGGCATCCAAGTATCCCCAAGTATCCCAGTGTTTGTTTTTATGTCGGATGCCCTTCCTGTCACAAAAAGCCCTGTGACTTTCGCCAAAGCTGGAAACGTGGGCGGTGAAGTGTTTGTGTTTTGGTGTTTAAATGGACAAGAGAAATCTGATTATCAAAAACACCCAGTGACATGTGTTAGTTAGTCAATTGATACTTTGCAGCTGATGTCATCAACATTCTCTAGGGGTGTGAAGCTAACTGGAAGAACGAATCTGTCTGAAGCTCTGTTCCTCAAGACTTAATATGATCTTTATTTGAACACCAGATGACTAGAAAGAGCGGACTTGTTTGACAGGAGAGGTGATCTGTGCTGTTAAACAAGTCTCTCACAAGTAAAATTATTGCCACATGTCACTATAGTAGCACTGGTCAAGTTTTTCAGTCAGTCGCTCTCACCTTTTTGTTGAAAATGTAACTCCTAAACAAGACCATGAACGCTCGTATTGATCACAGGTTTCTTTTTTTTCACCATTAAGTCTCAACAGAACGTAGCCTTTACTGGAAAATGTAAAAATGGGTGAGGTATAAACCCGAGACACACCAATTGATTTTTACATTTTCCAGTAAGGGCTACGTTCTGTTGAGACTTGAACGTTTAACTCTCGTAGAGCACTTGTACTGCTATTTTTAAACTTTTTTATGACCCCGTGAAGCTTTCAACCTTTTCTCTTCATCTGATATATTAAGGCTACGTTTATATGATGACGGTCTGAACAGAAGACGCAAAAGTGGCGTCGCGGCTTCACTTTTTATTCCGCGTTTAGACGAGCGTTTTCGGGAGGAAGTCTGCATGCATACAGTGACACAAAAGTGTGTGGAATTCGGTCAGACATGTTTGTTTCTGTGTACTGTATGTATGTGACGTAAACTTGTACACGACATGAGCAGATCTGACTAGAGTTTTGCGTCTTGGGCAGTGTAAACGGAAACGCTACAGCGGAGCGTATTCAACTTTTCCACTCTGGAGGGTGGTTTCAGATTTTTGCGTTTTTAAGCTCCAAAAATGCTGCCACCATCTAAACGAAAGGCACTTCTGATAAAATATGATTCGTTGTTTTTACCTACAAGTGTTCTCATGTAAACAGGCTTTAAAACACATCGCAGATTTTCTCATGTGCGCATTGTGTCACTATTGTAACTGTTGAACATTCTGCCAATAGAGACGCATGTAGAACACCCCAAGTCACTGCAAAGTATCAATAGATTTTTAGGATAACTGTTGTATTTGGAATAAGGTTATCAAAAGTATCGAAAACCAGACACTAAAACTAGTATCCAAACTTGATACTCAATTGAGCAGGTATCGATACTGAAAAAGTCCCATTCACAGGACACAAATGAACCTTTCCTGAATGGCTTTAGAATGATCTGGAGCTTAAAGTTTGTATTGTAGGACTATAGCAGGGCATAGATGGGATGGGAAGTTCTTTTCTTTGGCTTGGAATGTGATGTGTTCCATTTGTTCCTATTTTAAGCCTGGATAAATGAATTGCTTCAGGATGGGCATCTGGTGTAAAGAACAGTCATAAAACCACCCACACCTGTTTGAGTTATTTCAGTATGAATGAAACTGGAATACAATGAGCAAAATAAACGCGCTGTACAAAACAAGTGAGGGCATGTGAGCTCTTAAAGGAGACATGTTATCAACTGACTTTGAGTTTTATCCAGGTATAACGTTAAATGTACCTCAAAATCACATCCTGGAGTAGTATTTTGTTGCATTGATTTGTTTTTTGCTTTACTATCAGGTATTCAGTGCAAAACTTTCAAATTTAGATCACCATGTTACCTTTTATTGTTTTCAAATTGCCGTATTCGAAAACGACGCATTGACATCTTTGTTTTTGTTGTTCTGAGTCTCGCCTCCTCTGCTACCAGCGCTAAGTAACTCCCCCTTCAGAGCGCTATCACAACACGATCAGCACAGATATTGCTAATGACACGACTGCACATCGCATCAGGTTTGTCAAGATGGTTTTGCGTCACGCTTTACGGAAAACTGTCATGTGGGAGTGTGGTTGACGTAGGCTTGTGGGTAGTGTCCTCCCAGGAGAGATCACTAGATTACTCAAACATGCACGGGTGACATCTAAAACCTCTTCAGGCATGTTTCTGATGCATATTTAGACAGCAGGTTGGGCAAAAAAAACCAAAATAAAATAAAAAAAAACTATCTCTGCTGGAAATTTAAGGCTGATAGTCATTCGCTAAAAAGTTTCAAATATTGTCTCGATATTAGAGATGCACCGATACAATACTGGTGTAAGATATCGGTGCAGATATTGAAAATTGAAATTGTTATGCATTGGATATCGGCTTCCAAGATATCAGTTCAGTCGATATCTCATTTTATCTATAAATTATAATAAAATCAATACTGGCCCAAAACATACAATAATGATAGAGTTGTACATTTGTTATCTAGGATTACTCAGTCTTGGAGGTGATTTTGAGTTGGACATATGACAGATAAAGATATGCCTGGCTGGTCAGATGTACTTGTACGTTGTTACACATTCTTCGCAAAGAAACAAAAAAAAAAAGGCCCAAAACATCTCATATTATTGTATTTTTAAAGCTGTTTTGTAGCTACATTAAATGATAAATAACACTTAAAAACATTTGGATCTGTAACCATAAGCTGTTTGTGTTATAAGGAAATAAATTATATATGCAACAAAGTATCGACATTGGTATTGGAATTGAAAAAGCTGGATCTGTGCATCCCTACTCGATACATCCCGACCGATATATCGATCATTTTACTTACTTTTTGTATAATATGTCTCCTTTAAGTTGCCTTCACTTGCACTGCGTTCACTCTTATCCTGGTTGGTTTAGTTCTGGTGTAGACTTGCTTTGGTCCTCTTTTATTTTTACTCCCAATTTTGATGAGAAAATAATTTACTGTATCTGTAGCAACAAGAGCAATGCTGCCACTTCAAATTGTCAAAATGTTTCACTCCCACTGTCGCCAGCAGAGGGCGTCATATCAAATCTCTACAGTCACACATGAATGGAACTTATGTTTAGTAACAAACATGAAAAAACAATGTGTATTTAAGTATTTCCAAAAGAAAAGAGCATAACATGTCTCCTTTAGCTCTCTACACCCCCTAGTGGCCGGTCATCAGTATGCGTGGAGTGCTGAAATGTCCGGCTGGTGCTTGCGCTGTTGCTTCAGTTGAGGTTGAGTTTAGCGGGCGTTGCGTGACAGAGACAGGTCCCCCTCCTCAGGGCCGCTCTCGGCGTCGGCGGAGGAGGCAGGGTCGGAGGTCAGCATGGGGCCGGGGGGCGGGATCGGGGAGAAGAGGGAGGAGCACAGTAGTTTGACTGGGCAGAAGGCGGAGCCACGGGGGATGAAGTTAACCTTGTTTTTATCCGGACAAGAGAACAGAGGGAAACCTTTGGACTGACCGGACCTGCACAAAACAATGTCAGATGAAGGAATTTGAGTATGCTGTCATTCAAAATATTGAAACATCGATATACTGTGATACTAAACATTTACATTTTACAGTCTGTGCGTGTTCACATGCTAGTTGTTGTCAGCTTTATACTCATGACAAAACTTGGACCACTAGTTTATTAAAAATCGAGTTTAAAAATCAGGTGTAGTGCCTTCAAGAATTCAAAAAGATGTAAATTTTTATAAATACTGACCACCCCATTGTCATTCTACATCAGAAAATAAAATTACCTTAATGTTTTGTTAATTTTATGAAGTATTTTAAGTAGTATTATACAGTTTTTTCACTCTACTAATGACTAAAGATTAAAAAGTGTGTGAAGAGTTAACAGTTGTGACTGACAGTGTTTGAAAAGGCTGTAAAACATTGCGTACTTACCCGAGCTCGTCAAAGACCTTGACTCTTTCACAGCCCTCTGGTGGCTCCCGTTTGAACATGTAGCTGTTGTTGGGTTTGGGGGAAGTGGCAAACTTGGGAAGAGGAGAGCAGCACACGCTATCTGCACACACACACACACACACATTAAAATAAAGATTACACAAACATGAATCACTCCAAATGCGACTTTGGGTGAGTAAATGGTGCGGTGAAACAGCTGTAACATGGTTAAAAGCTCTGAAAACAAAACATCTTTAAAGCTGGGTTGGAGTGGAAATAGTCATTCACCATGTGTCACTTTTTATAATGGCATTTAACTCCAATAAAAAAAAGAGAATATGTCAACTTTTTTACCCACATTAAAGGTCCTATATTAAGCAAAACTGATTCTTGTGAGCTTTTAGTAACGCTTTAGTTATGTTGTTACCTCCTCAGAAGCAGACCTGAAGTTGTGTTTTGTTTCATTCAAATATGTTTGAGTAATTCTTTATTATTAAAACACAATTCCAGTAATGTTTTTGATGAGGAAACTTTATGAGATTGATCAGAAAATAGCTTAATATGGGCAGTTTAAAACAACACAACCACTTCAAATTTTACCTAAATCCCTCAGAGCCCTGTTTGAGGGCAGTGCCTGGTTACCTTTGTCTGTGTCCTCGGTGGAGCAGGGGCTGCCGTGCTCGGGGCTGCTGGGCAGAGGAGAGGAGTCTCCACTAGAAGGCGCCTGTGTGTCTGTGTCACGGGTTTCTGCACTGAGGCGGAGTCGAGGGAATGGGGCTCGCCGGCCGTCCAATACATCCAGACACTGAAGAGAGAGAGAGGTTTTCAACATCAACATCAGACCAAAGGTACCGTGAACTTAGAACTGGTGGAGGATCAGTCAAATGTTTTTCTTCATGGAGACGTTATTGCTTTGTCTGGAATGTTTCACAGTATGGCATTAAACCCTTCTATCTTCACGGAGACCTAACCAGACCAAGTTACAGGTCAGATCTGTGGAGAGGTGACCCCTCTCACAGTCAGAACGCCTGTTTTTCTAGGTATTTTTGAGCAGTAAAACCACCTGTAATTGAATAAATGTAGAGATCTTTAATGTCATACTGTGAAACGTTTCAGGAAGTGCAATGACATATCCATAGAAACAAGCAAGTGACGGACCCTCCACCAGAAAAGCTACAAAATACACCTTTAAAAGTCCTAGTACTACTTTGCAAAGTAAAGTAGCAGTTTAAAAACACAGTGGAGTACTTCCTGTATTATCACACGACATCAGAACATGTTTTCCATTTGAGAGAAGAACTGTGTTAACACAAAACACAACTCCGGGTGTTTTTCATGAGGAAACATTATAACATAGATCAGAAAATAACCTAATATGGACTCTAAAGTGGGACTAAACACCTAAACTCTTTCATTTCAACAGAACTTCTAAGAATTGGCAAATCTTCCAGTAAAAATGTTGCATAATGGACCTTTAGAGCATAACCTGGTTTATAGTGTTATTATCTACATCTGTGCCCACAACTGAAAAATACAGACCATTTTGATACTTGGAAATATTTAAGGAACCTACAAAAACGATTTCTACTTTATTTATTTAACTAAACCATATGAGTCAAGAACAGGAAATATTACAATCACGGATCCAACAACAGGGGAATAATTATTTATAGAGTTTCAAGAGAAGCTGTTCTGAATCAGCCTGGAAACAGACCAGTGTTTACCTTGTCCCAACGAGGACTCCAACTGGACTAGAGTTCAACGCCACACACTATCATCAGGGTGATAGATGGAAGTTGGAACAGCTGGTTGTTTTTTTTCTGACAGAGACTGATATTAGATTTGCAATTTATTTTAGTAGGATTCGGTCCACATTTTAAACCTGCCCACGAGCTTTAACTTTTCAGATAAGACTAAAATCTGAACTGATAAGATGACACAAGAATCCCATAACCTGGCTCTGCACATTAATCTGAGAAGGCTCTTGCTGGAAGCGTTCAGAACCAATGATCGAAGTGTTCAAACAAAGACTTCATGTTAATTGGCCAAAGCTTCAAAACAGCAGAACAGGCCAGAAAAATAAAACTTAAGTTAAATCCAGTTGAGAGAAACATATGTCTTACCCATCCACAAATGCACAATCCACATGTAGTTAGGGGTGTGCAAAAATATCTAAATATCGTATTGTTTATCGTATTGGGCTGCTGTATCGATATATCGCCAAGAGTATTTTTAAGTATATTTTACTAAATTATTTTGTTACAGCGCTACAGTTTTATTGCTTGTTCAGAGGAAGGAAATTCATTTATGCAACACATGTGACTTGTTTTGAGGATTAACATGGGCTTTTTTGATGTTAACTTCGCACAAGAAGTGGTTTAACAAAGACTTTTATTATCACACCCATCATTTAGACATTATTTTTTATTGAACCATATGGAATCGATTTGAAATACATGAAATCGAATCGAAAGTGCACTGTATCGAGATATAGTGATAGAGATATATGTGTCCTATCATGGCCTGTTTATTGATATGTATCGTATCGGCAACTTCTGAATGATACCCAGCCCTACATGTAGTGTGTATTTCTACTAGAATCATTTAATCATTTTCACTAAGCTTTTCACACACTTCCTGCTCCATTCATTGTCTATTGGGATTTATTTGAGTCGTGCTAAAATAGATCTATCCCATGCATTTCAGAACATGTTTAAAGAACAGGATCGATTAGACATATTTTGTCTAATGTAACTTAAATAATTATAGTCTTTGTGATTGGCCAATTGAGATTACGAGTTTGATACACATTTAAGCTTTATTATCAGGATGCATCTAAGTTGTTTTATCTTTAGACATCCATCCATCCATTTTCGTCCGCTTATCCGGGGCCGGGTCACGGGGGGAGCAGCCTAAGCAGGGACTCCCAGACTTCCTTCACCCCAGACACGTCCTCCAGCTCCTCCGGGGGGACCCCGAGGCGTTCCCAGGCCAGCCGAGAGACATAGTCCCTCCAGCGTGTCCTGGGTCTTCCCCGGGGCCTCCTCCCGGCGGGACATGCCCGGAACACCTCCCGAGGGAGGCGCCCAGGAGGCATCCGGAACAGATGCCCGAGCCACCTCAACTGGCTCCTCTCGACGTGAAGGAGCAGCGGCTCTACTCCGAGCTCCTCCCGTGTGACTGAGCTCCTCACCCTATCTCTAAAGGAGCGCCCAGCCACCCTGCGGAGGAAACTCATTTCGAGCGCTTGTATCCGCGATCTCGTCCTTTCGGTCACTAATCTTTAGACACATTAGTCAAAGTTAAAGGTGCACTATGTAACTTTTTGGTTGGGGGTACCGGTCCGTCACCTGCTTGTTTCTGTGGTTAATGCATGTCATTGCTCTAACTGGAATTTTACACAGTATGACATTAAACAGCTCTACCTTAAAACTATTAAGTCACAGATAGTTTTATAGCTCAAAAATTCCTAAAAAAAAACAGGCATTCTGAATGTGAGTGGGGTCGCCTCTCCACAGATCTGACCTGTAACTTGGTCTGGTTTAATGTCCATGAAGATAGAAGGGTTTAATACTATACTGTGAAACATTCCAGACAAAGCAATAGCATCTCCATGGAGAAAAGCATTTGACGGACACTCCACCAGAAAAGTTACTCAATGCACAACCAAAAAAACGCAAATTGACTAAATAGAAAAAATTGATAATAAAAACATTGAAGTTTTCTCCATAGACTGTGGCCTGTCTGTCTGAAGCAGGATTACAAAAATGCATCTTTGACTCCTCTTGCATCAATTAAAAAGGCGCTGTACCTGATTTTTACAGTCCTAAAAACATGGTAGAGCTAACCAGAACTAGCATGTTAACACACACTTCCTGATTCTCAGACAACAGAGCGCTTCATGGCTAGACGCAGACAGTACACAGCAGACTTATTTTAACCTCAAGAGCTGCTTACACAATATATCTGTACTGGGATAGTGAGAAAAAATGTGATTCCACTGGATTTCAGCTCTTATAAGGGTGCGTGTAAGTCCTTTTATCTTTAGAAATTTGTCAGAACAGGAAAGGTATAAATAAAAATAAATAATAAAGTTTTTTTCCTTTATAGGCTGGGGAACAGATGAGTCTTGGCCTGTTTTTTTCAAGCTGGATTTCGAAACTAAACAAAGTCTGACAGTGGAGCTTTTATGACTCCTCTTCCAGTGACTAACCATAACAAATACGATATATTGCAATAGAAAAATATTAAAAGGTACATTGTGTAACTTTTTGGTTGCAGGTCCGTCACGTGCTTGTTTCTATGGATGTGTCACTGCTCTGCCTGGAATGTTCCACAGTATGACAGTAAGCTCTACTTTATATTTATTCAATTACATCTGGTTTTATAACTCAGAAATATCTAGAAAAACAGGTATTCTGACTGTGAGTGGGGTCGACTCTCCACAGACTTGACCTGTAACTTGGTCTAGTTTGGTGTCTATGAAGATACTGTGAAACACTCCAGACAAAGCAATAACATCAAAAAAAAGTTACACAATACACCTTTAAGATAAACAATTATACTGAAACTATTTTATACCACTTACCGTAATTTCCAGACTATTGCACGCACCTGAATATAAGCCACATTGACTTAATTTTAAAATAGTCTTGTCTATAAGCCGCAGCCGAGTCCACGTTTTAACTTGAGATATTTACACAGAAAGATTAAAAAATAAATAAAAAATTAAATACTGGTACATCCTTTTTGCGCGTCCAAAAGTGCAAAAAATACGGTAGTTCATCCATATATTAACCATATCATTGTATAAGCTGCAGGGTTCAAAGTGTGAGTAAAAAGTAGAGGCTTATAGTCCGGAAATTACGGTACACAAGAACCCTAATTATGCAAATTGACCATAATGTAAATAACAGCATCGCAATAAAGAAACACTTTGCGGTGACATCATGCTGAGGGTGTTAGACATGTATATGTATTGACAGAATGTTACCAGTTACCATGGGAGATATAATGCAAGCAAAAAAAAAGTTTTATAGTCTAAAAACTCAAAACAAAAAGGTGAGAGTGACTATCTGAAAAACTGCTAGCTTGTGGCTGTAATGTTATCTGTTATGTAATTTGTTTATCAGCACACATCAGCTGTTGTAGTTCCAGCTAAGTCCTTTCTGGTCAGATTGCATTTACATAAAGCTCTGATTAAAGTCTAATTTCAGTAACAGAGCCCCAGACAGAGCAATGGCTCCAGTTAGCATCACACCCCCAGAGAATGTTGATGACATCAGCTGCAAAGTATCAGCAATGTGTCATAGATGTTAATTATTCAACCAGCAACAGCTCAAATGTTATCATAGAGGCTTCATACTAGGGATGGGCATGATTAGTTGATTAATCAATAATTGATCATTAAGAATTTCATCGATTACGTTCATTTTTGGTCACGTTTATCCGTGAACAAACGAGGGTCCGTACATGTGTCTCTCTGCACTCAGAAGGAGCGAGACACAAACAGTCGGTCAGTCTGCAACGTGCCGAAGAACAAATGCGTATTTAATGACTCGTACAAAAAATTCCACACTTTCCATTCCGGGCGGGACAAGTGTGAGGCCATGTGCACAGTGTACAAAGCAGTACATATGTTTCAGTGTCCAGTGGAAAAAAAGCTCACCAGGACACCGAAAACATGAAAAGGTTTTACCAGGTGAGAGTAGCTCAATGTCGATGACGAGGGTCCACCTCCCATCCCCCGTACGGTGTCCTGGTTTTGACAAACGCAAATATGGTCACACTAACCTGTATTCCACTGAGTCGTGTCCTTCAATCCGACAGAAGTTGACCGCATCAGCGCACAAGAGCAGTTTTTTTCCCTTCGCTTAGTTTATGTAAATTAGCGACGCAGTTTAAGTTTTGTTTCTGTGAGAGTTGCACAAAGCTGCATTAAACACATTATAATCTCAAATGGGCTGATGTGGCTCTAGAGTGGTTATGGTTCATATGTCGTAAAGTTCAATTTATTTATGCAGATTAGTAGTGCAGACAGTAATAATGATGATAAATTTTAATATAAAAATTTTTAATTTTCCCGACGATCGATTAAGAAAATTTAATCGAATGCCCATCCCTACTTCATACTTCAAAATATATGAAAAATTACCTACTAGTGTAAAGAAAAGATAAAGTCTGTATTTAAAGGGCCTGTATTATGCCAGCTGATCTTTGTTATAATATTTCTTCATTGCAAACAGACCTGGAGTTGTGTTTTGTTTCATTCACACATGTTTAACACACAAACCCTGCAGATTTAGGTTGACTTCTTCACTCAGACAGATAGTCTCAGACCTGGAATTGCTGATCTCTACTGAACTAAAAGTAAAACATCGTTGTTTATTTGAAAACTACCACTACATGACATCGCAAGGTGGAATAGAGCATTTTGAGCTTTGAGTAATCCTTTATTATTAGTCTGTCTACATCTCCAAACACGTGTGAATGAAACAAAATACAACTCCAGGTATGTTTTTGAAGAGGTAACAATATTCTAACATGACTTAAAGCTCACAAGAGTCAATTTTGCAAAATATAGGACCTTTAAATGCTTTCTAACACAGGCTGGACTCATAGAAGCAGAAGGGCTTAGAGACTACAGAAATATGCTGAGTGGTGTGTTCTGTTGATTTAAGCTGAGAGGAAAGTCAAACACGTGAGACACAAAGCTAACAGAGCTACAGCGTCGTGTCAGTTTGACTCGAGGTGAACGCAGGGATAACAGCAGACGGTATAATGGCCGTTTTATGATCCTCAGAGCTTCTGCTGGCAGCACAGACTGGATAAAGAAGTAGGCTAAGGGAGTGTGACGTCACCCTCACCCAACTCCAGTCAAATGAAGCTCATGGAGGTTTGCAGTTATCGGAGCGAATTTGAAGCAGAGTTCTATATTAGGAATACAAATTGATTTACGGACAAAGCAAAATAAAAACATAAAAACATATTTTGGATCATGTAGAGCCGAAAGACCAAAATGTCGAGGCTTACAGCAGCAGTAACAGAGAGAAAGGTGACAAATTTTTCAACTTAGAACTTAAGTCAATGGAACCAGACATGCCCCCATGTTTACTTCCTTTTTGGAGCTATGTGGACCTTTTGTTTCATTCTCTCACACTGTTTAACAAACCAAACCCTGTGTATTTAGGCTCAGTTCTTCTCTCAAACTGAAAACACTCCCGTTTTTTTACACTTTGAGATGTCATGTTGTAATACAGGAAGGTGTTTTTAAACTCCATACACCTTCACTACAATCAAATGATTTGGATAATTTCAGCCCTGGAATTGTCAATCTATATTGAACTGAAGATAAAAGGTAGCTGTTAACTTGAAAAGGATTGCTTCAAGACATTCATGACAAGGTGCAACGGTGCATTTTGACAGACAATAATGCAGATAATAATGCAGGATTTGTGAATGAAATAAAACACAATTCCATGTCTGTTTTTGGTGAGGGAACAGCATTATGACTAAAACCTCAGTCATTTTTAGTCTGCTGTGTCCTGTCTGCATCTAATTAAGTGTTTAATTGTCTGAGAATCAGGAGGTTCATAATTAGCATCGTAGTGGTGTACCTGTGGGCTGTGCTCCCAGTCGTCTCTGATGAAGACGTTCTCCAGCTCATGGTTGATGGCCTCCACACTGCTGGGCACTCTGCTGATCAGGGGCTTTGGCACTGTGGAGGAGGGCGCCCCTTTGTGCTGTGGACCAACAAAACAGATGAGCCTCGATTCACTGAAAACGGCTTTAACCAGATTTCACATTTATAACACAATTACAGTTACAATTAAATACAATCCTATAACTGCTGTTTAAATATGAAACCTATTCATAATGTAAAAAATTATAATTATTCATATCTATCTATTCATATGTATATAACTGTCAACAAGTTTAACAATAGACCTTTTTCACAATGGCTGGGAGTGTGCTATATATTTGCAGAACTTCTGGTTAACGGTTTTCTGTGGCAAAATGTCTGTGAGAAATGTCTCGAGTATACTCCACCAGCTTCATAAATCTGTCCCATCACCAAATCTTCAGCCAACAAGGTCCACAAAAGATAAACATTCTTCCATGAAGAATTAATCCACAACTCTCAAGGTAAGAAAGACAAAAGCTTAGAGGCAAACAACGACTAGCATTAGTGAACTAAAAATCTAGCGTTATGGTATCCTAGAGACCTATCTATGCTAATATTGACATCATGAAATTTTTTTTTTCTTCTTTTAACTGTAGAATCAGTCTGAGTGAACAAGTTACTTAAGTTTTATTCATGACCATAACGTTAGTTTTACTCAGTACTTCACTAATGCAAGTTGTTTTTTGCCTTTAAGTTTTCGTCTTTTTGACCTTGATAGTTGTGGATAAATTCTTCATGGAAGAATGTTTATACTTTGTGGACCTTGTTGACTGAAGATTTGGTGATGAGGCAGATTTATGAAGATTGTGGAGAATACGCCAGACATTTCCAAAGACATTTTGCCATAGAAAACCAATAACCGTAAATTCCACAAAGCTACAGTGGGGCCGCTGTGAAAAACGTCTATTATTTTGATATGGTCTGAGATTCTGGAGTCGCCAAGCACCCTTTTTTTTTGCATAAGAATACCAGTGCTGTTCTGTTCAAAGAGTTTATTTTTGCATGAAATCCTGTGAGCTTGTAGTCTTGTGAGCGCACATTGGGTCAAATGTTTGATCAGATCGTAGATACCTTCATCAGACTCATTTTGATCATCTCACTTGAACTGCACCGTGTTGATAATTAGCTACGCTACTAATTTTTCATTAAACATTGTTCACTCCTTACTGTTACCAGTAGGGGTCATCATTCACCAAATTCAAGTCTTCAAATGTAAAGTGATGCCAAATTTGAGTATGAGCGCATTTTCTTCATTTTATACATCATATAAGTTGTAAAACATTAAATAACAACACAAAAATACGCAAAAATACCATATTACACCATTTCTGATCTATGTTAAGTTTTTTCACACATGTTTAACACACAAACCCTGCATATTTAGGCTCTGTTCTTCTCTCTGTTCCATCTTGTAATGTCATGTAGTAATACAATAGTGCTCCCCTGTGCTTTTAAATTCCATTCACTTTCATTAGAACCATTTGGATAATTTCAGCCCTGGAATTGCCAATGTGTACTGAACTAAAGGTAAAAGGAGCCGTTGAAACTACCGCTTCATGACATCACAAAGTGGAACAGAGCATTTTGAGCTTTGGAGATGTAAACAGACTAATAATAAAGAGTTACTCAAACATGTATGAATGAAACAAAACAACTCCAGATTTGTTTTTGATGAGGTAACAACATTCTGACAGCAATTTAAGCTCAGAAGAGTCCATTTTGTGTAATAAAAGATCTTTAAAAAGCCACAAAATATGTGTACAATAAAATCAAGTAGTTGGTGGATGGAGGAGGTTGATTTGAGCTGTTGTTAATGGTTAAACTTAAGTGAATGGGGCTTGTCTGGACATGTTCGCTGTCAAACAAATGGCCACTTCTCTGTCACTTATCGCGCAGAGAAATCACAAGAGCACAACAGGAAACCAAAGCTCCACTGTGAACAAAGAACGTAATGATGTGAGCGTGTACAGCCATTCACTCTTAAGGGACAGACTTAAATTGGATTATATGATTCCAGATCATTTAATTCTCCATGAAATGCTTGTGTCATTAAGTGTGTATAGCAGGATTTCATGGTTTTCTAATTATTACTTAGTTTGGTGGGATAATTGCTGTGGTAAAAAATGTGTCATAATCGGTGCTGTCAGTGGTGAAACGTAACAAAGTAAAAGTAGTATACATTTTAAGTATCTGTACTTCACTTAAAGATGCTCCCATTTGCTGCTTCTGTACATGGAGAATAGATGTTATTGTTTTGTCACCAGGCCAATTTACAGGCAAGATCTGTGAAGCAGTGACTCCACTCACAGCAAGAATGCATGTTTTTAAAGGCATTTTTGAGAAATAAAAACACCCACAATTTAATAAATGCATCTTATATAAGTTTAATGCCATACTGTGGAACATTACAGATAAATCAATGGTGGCAGACCCATGGTGGCAGACCCCAAACCTAAAAAGTTACACAATGCACTGTTAAGTACACCTTAAGTGGATACGTTTGACTTTTACTTCACTTGAGAGCTGGCATGTGTACTTTCTACTCCACTACATTCTTGAACATGACTGAAAAGTAAAAGTTTGAGACCTGCTGAAAAGGCTGAGGTTTTGTTTTTAACACATTTGTAGTTTAAGCAAACAAAAATATACAAGTAAACAGCTAGGAAAAAAAAAAGGTTTCTGTAGAACAAAATCCTGCAAAAATATGTATCAAAATCACTACATTTGAAGCTTTACAAGCCCTCAAAATCTCCATAAAATACTTTTACTTTTTACTCTTTACATACATTTTTAAACAACTACTTTTAATACTTTTTCTTTTGTTGATTTTTTTCATGTGATAATTTTACTTTTAGTATTTTCTTTGCTCTGGTATCTCTACTCTTACTTAAGCAACAAAATGGAGTACTTCTTCCACCACTGGATTCAAGATAATAAATAACAGGTTTTTAATCTTTTTGTAATTATTACTCAGTTTGGTGGGAGAGTACCTGTGGTAAATATGTATTATAGTTTTACATCAGTTAAGTGGCAGTTTGTGGAAAATGGAGGAAGTCGTGGTGAGACCTAGTGGAGTAGCTCTGCTTATGTCATCAACACCATGAACTCTGTCCAACAGTAACAAAGTCAGTGCAACATTTGTTTCTGGTAGTTGTTTTTATTTGTTTTTAATTAGTTTGTAGTCTATATTTGCAAGGTAACTAATTATGGAATTACCTTTGCTTATGATAAAACTGTGTTCAACCAGGAATTTCAATTTAAAAGGCCCATATTGTGCTATTTTCTATTACACTATGTCATAATGTTGTTTCCTCATCACAAACAGACCTGAAGCTGTGTTTTGGTATTCACACATGTTTAACAGATTTCGACTGATTTCTTCTCTCAAACAGAAAACACTCTGTTCCACCTTGTGATGTCATGTGGTAGTACAAAAAGTGTTCCACTTGCATGATTACACATGATCTCAGGCCTGGAATTGCCAATCTCTATTAAACTAACCGTAAAAGGAGCTGCTAACTTGAAAACTACAACTATATGGCATCACAAGGGGGAACAGACCATTTTGAGCTTTGGAGATGTACAGACTAAATTAAAAGAGTGAGTCAAACATTTGTGAATTAAAGAAACACAACTCTGGGTATGTTGCGGCAACAGCATTAGAACATGGCTTACTGTAAATCTCATAAGAGTCTAATTTTTGCATAATATAGGACCTTTAATCAAAATGTTTAAAAAAAAGAAAATGTTTGGCAAAATTATACATAAAAATTGCGTTAAAGTCACATGGACATACATATAGTGTGCTTTTTCTTCAGTTATAATCTACGACACAACATAAACAGACCATGCTTGCCCAAGTGACATGGATAGCTTCAGTTTACAGTAGCATTTTTTAAAAATAAGTACAAAAAGGGCTATATGATACATGACGGAAAAATATAAAATAAAATCAATATTCAAAATCTGAGTAAACTAATTATTTTCCATATGCAATATTCACATGAGTACATTTGAAATCTTTTGAGTTTATGTGCATAATCAAAAAATGAGGAACAAATTAAATCGAAGGCAGTGGGCCTGTATGGAGGTGGTGAAAATTTGAATTTTCAGAGCAGTGACTTTGCATAATATTTAAAACAGAAACAACAGCTGCAAGCACTGAAATGAGTTAGCTGTTTAGAGAAAGCCCCCTGCAATGATCAGAATGAGTCAAGATGTAATATGTGACTTAAATGAGGAGATTTTGTGCATTACTACCAGGTATTGTAAAATGGTTTTAAATTGTATGAAAAATTACTCCGACAAGTGTGAATGAATTAGACAAAACACAACTCCGCCTTTGTTCTTGTTCTTGATGAAGAGAACATGAGTAAAACCTCATGTTGACAGTGTCAGTTTAACAGATGACAGTGTGTAAGTAATGCTACCACAACCCTCTGTTGTCCTGTAAACTAGTAGAGGAGCCTGGGGCCAGTATCTGGTTTCAAGCATACAGTGGAATTTAGGACAAAGGTGCAGTTAACAGTCAGCACATGGCTTACCTGTGTTTGTCCAGAGGAGGCGCTGTGTCCCCCCTCCCTCTCTCTGCCCCGGTTCACCTGTTTGCTCCTGTGCAACTGCAGTCGGAGTTTGGCGATCTGCTGAGAGAACACGCCCAGTTAGTTTAGCAGTTTAAAAAGACAGTTAGTTTGGCTTTGTTAATTCCAGTGTAAGAAGAGCGTTAGTCCGACTTTGTTTAACTCAGTTTGACAGTCACTGTTAGGTTACCATAAAAGAGCATTGAACTTGATCTGATGTGAATGTGACCGCCACATTCTGATTCTCATGAAAAGCTCCAAGAGCACTTTAAACAGGAGGTCTGAGAGCAGCTTGTCTCTCTCTGGAGTGGGGTGAGTGCAGGGTGACCATGGCTGACCTCAGGCAGACCTACACAGTCTACAGTGACAGTAACAGGGCCTGGATCCCACAGGCCTATTTATGTGACTGGGTGCTGCAGAGCTGCTGTTTGGCACATTCATCTGGCAATTTGGATCATCTTCAGTGAGACATTTACTGCTGATCAGCTGATGGTGCATGTGAACAAGGCTGATCCAAAAGTGAAGTAAACAAAACTAAACCTAGTGTACTCTGAGGTTGGTCCAGAGAGCGCAGTCACATGTGAGAAAACGATTTAAGAAGACAGTTAGTCTGGCTTTGTTTACCCAAGTGTAAGAAGAGAGTTAGTCAGACTTTGTTTACCCCACTATGAAACACATCCAACCACATGACAGATGTGTGGGTGGAAGATAAGAATTCTCTTCTGTGTACACTAACTTAACTTTTATCTCACTGGTTGTCAAGAAAGTGCTCTTCAAAGTTGCACTAAGCAACTGAGTTACAGTATGGTGTCCACCACCAGTGGCTCTGTAAACATACAATGCTTTGCCTGTAATGGCAAAGCACTTTTATAAAAGACAAAAAACATTGTTTTCAGTGAGCCCCTCTGTAGATCTGACTAGTAACTTCAGACACCACCAAAGTTAATCCTCACTTGAGTTCTGAGTGCCCAAGTTATTCAGCGTGATGAGTTCATGAGTGTTTTTCACAGCTCTCAGAGAAGGGCATTTTGCCTTGAATGGAAAGTTAACAACAACTGGCAACCAATAACGTGCACTTCCTGATTATGGGATGATGAAATGCTTTATAATCAGATGCAGACAGCATGCAGCAGACTTATTTTAACCTCAAGAGCTGCTTATACAATATATCTGTAGTGGGGCAAGGCTCAAATACATGGGGAAAAAATTGAAATTACAGTGAATTTTTAAATATAACTAGTAAAAGTTTCTATCACATTGCCTAAAATAATTTGACCATAAATTAGCACAACAGAACTTTGTCTCTTTATCTTATATAATTGTAGAAATATGAAGTAAATATACTGTTTAAAAATGAGGACTATGGGCATTTAAACATTGTTTTTTTTCCACCTCTGCAGTAGGAGTGGCTCTGAGTGAAGTCTTGAGCAAAGTTTAGTTTCATGATGAATCCTGTTTGATAGACATAAACATAATACAAAATATGTAGCAAGCCCCATGTCTGGTCTCCCTATTAACGTGCTTATGTGGGATCTGCATGTTTATGCTGCAGTCATTGACAGTAAACTTCATGCTTTTCAGAAGGAGATTTTATGGATCATGAATCTTCAATGACGCATAGCTCTGACGTGTTTTAATCCCCAACACAATGGCTGTACATTTGGCTCAGTTACATGTAAATGTAATTCTTGACAAATTAAACACATTATACACTGACCTTGTCTAAATATAGTAGTATTTTTTCATACAGTCGACCTTCCCTTCACACTATGAGGCCTGCAAACATTTTTTTTCTCATGTATTTCCTCAAAATGCGTGTTTCCCAGTATAGAAATAAGCAGCTCAAAGCCTGTCCTTTGAGTATTGTCTACATCAGGCATGTCCAAACTACGGCCCGTGGGCCAAATGCGGCCCTCAGACAAATTTTTCTTGGCCCTCAGGCTTCCAAGTGAATTGGCCCAAATTACCTTGCACCAATTAAAAATGAACACTACTGCAAGTGTTTTTTTTTTTTTTTTTTTGGAAAATCTACCTTGATAAAGCTAATATTTAATATTTAGTGTGTGGTTTTAAGAATTTTAGCATGAATAAAGGACTGATGGCTCATTCTGATGTGTTAAACATGCACATATTTCAATTATTCACTGTATTGAGCACAAGTTTATGGCCCTCGATCGGCCCTCTGCCTTGTTTGTGTTTAGATTTGTGGCCCTTGATGAAAAAAGTTTGGACACCCCTGGTCTACATCATGACAGGCGACAAGGTGGCTGAGTGGCCGGGCCTTTCTGTGTGAAGTTTGCATGTTCTCCTTGTGTCTGGGTGGATTTTCTAAAGGCAGTCTAGTTTTCCCTATAGACTGTATACATAAATGGACATAGCTAACGTTCCAAATAAGAAATGAACATGAGAGCGCTTCTGGCTCCACTGACTCTAGCTCCAACTTACTTAACAGTGAAAAACTGTCGCCCTTCTCTCTATAACTTCTGCAGTGAGCCTCATCAAATGTACGTATTAACCCGCTCTACGTGATTCTGGTGTTTTTATGTCATTTTGTCCGTAAATGAATTCCTTTCCTAATATGGAACTTTGCTCCAAATTTGCCTCGATGAGCTTCATTTGACTGAACACTGTGGGTGACCTAACATTCCCTCATGTCCACTTCTTTACAGTCTCTGGTTTTCCCCATCAAAATAAAAGAGAAAAAAAATGCATAGCACGCTCAGATGGCCGATGTCAGATCATTTTTCTTGCTTTGGACCACAGTATTTCCCCATCAACCCAAAACATACACAAGCTCAGTGGTCCTCATCAAGCCAAGCTCAAGACCTGGAGACGGGTCCTCAAGCTCACTGCTCCCGACAGGCAATGCATTTCCATCAAGTGTGTACTTTACTTTATTTGTAACGTGTACTATGATCTGAGAGTTAGGAAGTGAGCAGTTAGTATGCTAGTTGTGTGCTCTGAAAGTTGTGATAAGCTCTTACAATTGAATTGTGGTGAATAATTAGGATGCTCTGAATGCATAAGGTAATTGAGGAATACCTTCGGGCCACTGTAAATGGCGAAAAATGAACTAGTCCTGTTTTTCACGTTTGAAGACAGTAAAAATCAGGTACAGCAGCTTTAAAGCTCCTAAAGTTATTTGCAATATGCACTCTGAACAGCTGAACATCTCTGAAATGTTACTTTTTAAACAAATCTAATCCCAAATGCAATAGTTGTCCGAAAAATGGCAAAATCGTCTTGGGTCCGATCAGAGAGAGACTGCCGGGGATACCCTCACACACATGGAAGCCGCCCGCCTCCACAGCAAGAATGCAGCTCTCATTTCATTCACTGACCACAAGAGTCAATATTGACAAGTCCAGGCAGAACCCCGGTAACACAGGGCCCAGTCTAACCTGACTGTGGAGCCGATTGTGCAAGCCTCATTACACTGCTCACAGATAAGTAACTAAATAGAATCACTGTTGAAAAGGCAGAGACAAAAGAAACTATGTACTTAACTGTGCTAAGTGCTTTAAATACAACTGTCTTCAGAATGTCTCAAATTACACAGACATTTCACTTTTCTGGCACTTGTCAGTCACCATGGAGATGCTATTACTTTGCCAGGAATGCATAAAAGCCCCAATATATAACTTTTGTATTCAAACAAATAGACTAAAATAAATGTTTGTTTGTTTTTAGCTGGTTTTATTGCACTGAAAATCATGCATTCTTACTGAGAGGGCTTGCATCTCCGCAAACCTGACTCTTCCTTGGCCTCCTCCTGCTTGTTTCCATGGAAATGTTGTTCATTTGATAATCATATTCAGTATGGCATTAAACAATCTATCTCCATGGAGGATGTTGGGGGAATTGTTTTAACTTTCTTTTTCAATTACTGTACTAATACTGTACATTTACGATATTTTTGGGGAGATAATTCTGCTTTATGGTTTAGTTTCAGTTGATACTTTGCTGCTATGACATCACGCTGGGGGTGTTCTACATGTACCTCTATTGGTTTAAAGCACACATCATCAGGAGCCTGTGATCAATAAGAGCGTTCATGGTCCTGTTTAGGAGTTAGATTTTCAACAAAAACCCGAGAGAGACTAAGTGGTGAAAAACTTCAAGGCACACGATGTAACTTTTTGTTGGAGGTTCAAAACCTGCTTGTTTCTATGGATATGTCACTGCTCTGCCTTGAAGGTTCCACAGTATGACATTAAACAGCTCTACCTTAGGTTTATTCAATTACAGGTGGTTTTATAGCTCAAAAATACCAGGTGAAACAGACATTCTGACTGTGAGCAGGGTTGCCTCTCCAGAGATCTGACCTGTAACTTAGTCTGGTTTGGTGAAGACACGAAGATAGAAAAGTTTAATGCCACACTGTGAAACATTCCTTAAAATTACCGGCAGTAGCTCAGTTGGTAAGAGCATTTGTCCAGTGATCTAAAGGTTGGCAGTTTGAGTGGGATGCGTCTATTGACAAAGCCAGTCTTTTAGAGTCTTTTGAACCATATCGTTTTTGTTTCTGGTTCTGAACGGCTTGAGAAATGGGTTCCGGAAGTTTGCAAACTCCATAAATGCAAAAGGGAATCAGATGTGTGTGACTGCAATCCATTCAAACTGTTTCCCTTCCCAACAGAAATGAAAAATAGTGAAAGGCGAAGGCGATGGGCAGGATTGATCCACAAGAAGGACCAAAAAGGAAACCTTTGGCTGCCTAAATCATCCCGAGTTTTCAGCGAACATTTTGTATGTGGAGCGCCAACAAAGCGGGATCCTGTTTCTTTAAGCAAGAGGTACAGAAGACAAACAGGCTGAGCTTGCACTTTCTTGTTCTTGTGGTTTTACAGCAACATCACGTTTTGGTTGTTTTGCAGTGGAAGGTGTTTCTTGGTGAACAGCTGGTGCCTTTCGCTTTGGCGTTGACTTTTTAAATTCGTAACCAAGGTGAAGCGAGGGATCGGGGTTTTGCTTTGTTGGCGCTCCACATACAAAATGTTTGCTGCAAACTCGAGATGATTTAGGCAGTCAAAGATTTCCTTTTTTGTCCTTCTTGTGGA